CTCACACACACACACACACACACACACTCACACACACACACACACAAAAGCGCTCAGGTCTGAACTGCGGTAAAGTTGGTTTTATATTCACACATTCGGACTTCCGTGTTCAATAGCTTTGTTAATATGCAATTAAAAAGGATACTTACAATTAATTTTCATTACCGACTATAATGAGCAGTACCTACAATCCATTTGTCTGCAGAAGTCCATGTTTTTATAAGGCTGAAAAACACCTGTATGCCTATGGAATGGTGTGACGTCATCACCAGCAGAGGGACCGTCTACAAATTACATGATGCTTCTATGGCAAGTTGCTAAAGACTCATTTGAGCTGAAAAGCGCTGCTTGCTTTTATTTAAAACGTTCCAGAGCATGTTGATATATGATACATTTATGATTTATATATTTAATAAACAATTTGTGCCTCAAGTTTATTTTTTGTTGTTGTTGCTATTACTGTGTTAATTACTGTGGTTTCTTCAATGACACATGATTAAGTTCAATAGCTTTTAAAAGGCTTGATGGACTGGTCCTGGACACACTGGAAAAGCTTAACTTCACCCTAATAAACGTACTACAACTCTTTGTTTTGCAATCATTTGCATCATATGGTCAACAAGTACTCTCAACCTGTTGCATTCATTTCCTAAATGACAAATTATTCAGTTCAACAGTTTTTAAAATGCTCTGTGGACTGTTACAGAACATGGTAGAATACGTTTATTTCAACCTGAAGAATACACAACAACTCTTCAGTGGACAATTATCTGCTTTATATGGGAAATTACATCTCCCAAACTGTTGCATTGTTTTCTTCATTCACACATTACACGGTTCAATACGTCTGGATTAAACAGACTAATTATTCCGGTGCTTTATATGGGAAATTACATCTCCCAAACTGTTGCATTGTTTTCTTCATTCACACATTACACGGTTCAATAAGTCTGGATTAAACAGACTAATTATTCCGGGACAATCTGTAAAATGTTTAGCTACATTTTTTAATTTGCCCAGCACATTTCCAATGCTATGTTTAAGTAAAGAGTAATGTTTTCCTTATTAAACACTAAAAGGACACTTTGCAACATTGCTCAGTTTGAATATTTTATTTAGTGTATTTGCGGTTGGATGTACTTTGACAATTGCAAGAAACAATAAATCCACCAATGTGTAAAGTGTCAGCACCATTATGACACCATCATTTGTACAGATGTTTTTCAGGAAGACCGAGGAGCAATCGTCTCACATTAGTACAAACACATTTGCTCACGTTTAAACAAAGCATACAGTTTGGGTTCAGAAATGTGCTACCGTGATTTGGTGGCCAAAATCAATCAGCTGAGTCCCCACATTATCATGGCCTGCTTAAAACTGTGCAAGTTATACTCTTTTGACATGAGTAAATAAATGTGAATGAATGTGTATTGTTTTACCCAAGTTTCCATTTAAAAATAATTTTGTGTTGAAAAGGTTTTGAAGGTCTTTTGAGAAGGCCTATTTAAAGGTCCTTGTGCTGTTAAAATCCTGTTTTAAACTTACTGTATGTTCAATGAAACTTTAACAATTTAAAAAGCCAACCTGCAATTTATATAAAATGTCAGTTATATATATGATACAAATTGTCATGAATGGTCCCAAATTTAAGTCAGTTATAGACTGTTTAATGTCATGTATACCCTGTTTGAAGTCTCTTTAATAATATGATGGGTTCAGTACCATGGACAGTTCTGCAAGTTTGAAAACATCAATGCAAATAGATTATGACATTTTGAAACTTAAATGCTAAATCAAAAGCAAATACTTTAGAAGATGTAAAACATAATATCCAGTCGGTTTATTCAACAGGGGCCTCATTTATAACCGTTGCATATGCACAAATCCTGTCCTGAAAGAGGCATACGCCACTTCCTACGCAAAAGGTGTATATAAATAATAAAAATAATGAGATATATAAAAACAAACTTGACGGGAAAATTAATAAATTAATAAAATTAATAAAGTAAACAATGATTTTAAACTCTATTTTCATGTCAATATACACATTTACATTAAATATTCCACTCTCATTAATGGAGATAAGCACCGAAATCACATAAAGTCATATACGCAGAAGTTAAACCAAAATGATATGAATTTACACACATTTGTAGTGGATGCGCTTGATCACTTTTCCTGTGGCATGTTATGTTTTAATGACAGCGAAGAGTGCTATAGGTGCACAATAATTAATATTTAAACTAAACTGCAGATCTCATGTTACGAGAAAATATTTTTGTAGCGAGACTAATCATCAATGCTGCGCACTTACTTCGATATTATGGCGGACACTG